GCTTCATGCTGATCTCCATTGGGTTCTTCTGGGCTCTCTGAGATCTCCTTCTCATCCAAGACCACGTCCGCCTTCTCTTCCCCCTGGATGTCAGCTCGCTCCAACATCGGCAAAGGAACTGTAGCCACCATGATGTACTTCCCTTTCTGGCGACGTCCATCATCTCGACCCACAGGATACGGGCCCACCAAGTCCAAAGACATGACATAGGCAGAGCTGTCGGCATGTGACCGTCTGTGAGGACTGTCCACCCCTGCCAGCTCCATACATCGCCTGCAGTCTCGTCTGTAAGGATGGTGATGAGCTCTGATGTGTCGCTTCCACTCCTCAACGTTCAACTTGTGGATGCGCTGGGCAAGACATTGATCCCGTTCATGGAGATAGGTCCTCAGCGCTACCTTGAATGCAGCCACCAAGCCCGGTGCCCAGCTCGCCCAATCCTTCGAGGCATTGATTGAGGCCTGAAGATCTCGTGGAAGAGGATCCGATCTGCGTGTTGAATCCCTCAAACCATCCAGCTGCTCCAAGCCCGGCAGATTTCCCAAGACCGTAGTTGGCTTCCGTCTCACATGCCCCATTTGGGATTGATCAAAACTCACAAGCTTCAGCTGCCCTCGTCCCACCAGGTCCTTCAGTTCAGGAAAGTTCCAAAAGGATGGGAAGTTGGCTGCAACCTCAGGTCCAAGGTATTCCATTGGGTCTTCAGGAGACTCCAGTGCAAATGCCGTAGGAAGACAATGAAGCTCCGCCACCTGCATGCGTCGCTCCTCCGCCTTCAAGAACAGGCCCAGCTGCTTGAAGAGGAGCGCTGTGTCAGAGTTGACCCGATGCAGGTCCCATGTGGGCAACCCTTCAAGATGGAAGCGAAGGCCGTCTCGTCCTCGAAGAGGAGGTGGTCCAGGCTGCCGTTGCCGCAGCCGTGACGTCGTCCGGCATGGTGGTCCACCCAAAATGCCCACCACCTTTCCAGCACATGCAAGCTCCCAAATGAACGCCCAAGTGGCTGCATCATGTAGGTCAATCCCATGCAAAGTGTCCACCGTGAGGATCGTGTAGCCAGCCTGTTCCAGCTCATCCCACTGTTTGTGGTTCTTCCCTGAGAAGAGGTGCAAGAGGATACCCTTCGACTTCCACAGTCTCCTTCTTCGATGGCGATTCCAGGGAAGACTAGAAGAGTGGTCACGCCAGCTTTCACCCTGCCCCTTCATGAACCTCCAGATGGAGTGCGGGACCTGTGGGAAGTGATCAGCCCACCACTTCAACTCGTCCTCCTTCAAGTCCACATCAACCTGCTGCATCTTCTCCAAGTCACCCAACAGGGACAAGCCTTCCGCCCTTGACATCACAGGGCATCCTCCCCTCAAGCTGCACTGCAAAGGCCCTTTAGTAGGGTGGTGGATCACGATGCTGTCTCTCTTCCATGTGATCTTGTAGTCAGCTGCCACCAACCAGGCCAATGGAATGATCGGCTCAACAGGGCTCCGGCTCAGCAAAGTCTGGTGCTTGGGGTGCTTGAAGAGGGTCGTAGATCCACAGGCCAACTCCACCTTGGTGGCAATCAGGTCAGGTTCCTCTTCAGGTCTGGCCTGTCGAAGTCCATGCGTGGCTCCACCATCAAGGAGTGCATATTCTCCAGGTCCTCCATAGATCCCTTCTCCCACGGACTTCATCCGCACGGCCTTCAAGGACCGGATTGACTTCAGCAAGCTTGTGGCTTCCCTCATCAGCTCAGCTGCTGCTTCTGTTGAAGGCTCACCCATTGGTTCAGTGGCAGTTGAATCACCACCTTGAGTTCCATCCGAGGTACCTCCAGGAGTCGTGCTGACCACCTCCTTGGGCTTGACCTCACTCCCATTGGGGGTTTTCCCAGGGCTCTTCTGTGCCTCCACCACTTGGTCCTTGGCGGCTGACTTCGGGGTCGCCTTCACCTTGGAAACCTTCTTTGGCTGTGAGCTGTCTCCTGCGGGGCCACCAACCGGGGTGGAAGTAGGAGTTGAAGTAGATGAGGTCTTCGCTGTGCAGTCCTTCCGAAGATGTGAAGAGCTCCCACAATTGAAACACCGCCCCTTCATCTCCGTGGTCTCATGAAGAAAGGTGCACTGCGATCCCCGTCTGCATCCCTCAGTAGTCTTCCAAAACTTGCATGAGGCCTTCGGTTGGCTTCCAGCTGTTGTACCTGCTGTCAAAGCTGCGACATCCATGCCCACAACAGCCTTCAGCGAAGTTGTTGCAGCAGCTCCAGCACTAGTAGCCCTCAAGCCGATTCCCAAACTCAACTCCTCGGCCTCGGACTGCAGGTACTCCGCATACTGCTCAATGGCGAGTGCCAAAGGTCTGAGGTCTACCCCCAGCTCCTGCCTCACCGAAGCTACCCGGTAAGCAAGCTGCGTTCCACCCAGCTTCCCAAGGGCATCTGCAAAGCGATGAAGAACTCCTCCAAGAATGATCGGATCGGGAAGGGCCAAGTTCAGCTCCATGGATCGGCTCATGAGACGCCTCCATCGACGAAGTCCCCCAAGCAAATCCGGTGCGCTGCTGGCCACCTTCGGCTCTGTGAGCTGCTTTAGAATGCTCACCCGCTCTGAGCTGCCGCCAGGTTGAAAGATCGTCCACAACCTGTACATAATGCCAGTGACCGTCATAGTCCTACTGGCAATCAGGTCCTGTTTGATGGACTCCGGCACGCACTTCAGCAGCATAGGCACCACCCTCTGCTCCAAGCGTAGATGGGCCTCGGATCGTTGAACTTCTGTTGGACGAAGTCTGATCCTCTCCAAGGGCGTCGAAGTGAGCCACCGGTCATACAAGCTTGAGGCATCTTGCAAGATGTCACCCCACCAACCACGAGCAGATCCAGCCACGTCCCCAATCATCGGAGTGACCACTGTGATCCAATCACCAAACTGCAGAGCTGACTGCTCCGTCCCAGGTTGAGGTAGTAGAGGAAGCTCGGAACCTCTCAAAGGCTCCATTGGCTGTGCCACACCTTGTTGTAGATCTGGTCCACCCAAGCCTGGAGGTCTCACCAGCGATGTAGTTCCACCTGCACCTCCACCAGCACTAGGTCCAGTCAGCCCACCTCCAAGATGTCCTGCATTGGCCGACATTCCCAATCCACCCGGAAGTTGACCACCACCATGTAAGCCCACATCAGGACTCTGAGAAGTCACTGCCGGTCCACCATAGACTGCACCACCTTGATGATGTCCAGGATTCATCCCACATCCACCATTGAAACCCAGGACACTCTGCGTTCCAGGAGAGTGAGTCACCATTGGAGACACCGGTTGACTCCACATCATGCCACATCCCAGTCCAGCTGTCTGACCTCCTTGATGAAGTCCATGATGCCCAGACATAGGTTGCACCCCAGGCTGCACTGCCACCAAAGATGACGTAGGAGCTCCCTGCAAAGAAGGCATTGGTGGAACCATCCTTCCATTCGCTCCAGGCCCACTCGAAGCCGTGTGGTAAGAGCGCACCTCACCCTCCGGCTCCTCGCCCTTCAACTTCTTCGCCTCTCTGATGAAGCTTTCCTCTGCTGCCTTCACAATCCTCAGCCGAAGTGCTTCCACTGACTTCTCCGGCGACGGTTGCGACAGAGCTCCACTCAGACCAGCTTGAAGAGATCCAGCACCACCATCAAGTAGCGCTCCATTGGCCTGCACAAGGCCTGCTTGTTGTCCTTCTGCACCAAGGGCCTGCCCAGGGCCGATGCCACCAGTTGCAACCCAGCTTGAAGAGGCCTGCACAGGGCCTGCACCAGCTATCATGCCGCGCGAAGAGGCCTGCTCAGGACCTATGCCATTAGCCGCACCGCGCAAAGAGGCCTGCTCAGGGCCAATGCCACCAGATGCACAGCGCGAGGCCTGCTCAGGGCCAATGCTACCAGCCATGCCACCAGGATGAAGATGTCCCGAACCTCCACAACCTTCACCATGGGCCTGCACAGGGCCGTAAGACACCGGCGGGCCAGCAAGCGGCGGCAATGCCTGAGGCCTTGCAACATCCGGCACTCCCTCAAGTGCTGCTGCCCTTCTGACTTCACTGCTCCAGAAGGCATTGACACCAGGCTGAACCATCAGAGCTCCAGCACTGTCACGATCATTGCCAAACCGGCCATCTGCCGCCTCCAACAAGGCCGGACCATCACGGTACTCCAAACCTCGTCCTTGGCCAGCATCTCCTCGTAGATCTTGAGCTGAAAGTTGACCAGCTCCAACAGCGCTAGAAAGCTCTGCCACCACGGCTGGACTGGTCTCATCATCCTCGTCCAACCTTCTATGGAAAACTCGTGGGGGCTCCTCCTGTCCAAGGTCCTGGAACAGCGGAGCTAAAAGGCCATCCGGCACCGGAGTCCCTGATCCCATCGGCAGCAAACCCGTGGACCCAGCAGCTTCACCTTCTCCTTGACCATCACGTCGGGGTCCAGGGTTTGAAGCCGCAGCTCTTCCCTCCTCCACCATCAGTCTTCTGACTTCAGGCACCGGGGAGCTGATCCTCGAATTCCGCTCCATGGCTATCAGGCGATCCAGCCGTTCATCAGCTGTCTCATCACGCAGCTGCCGCCTTCGACGGTCCATCGCTGCGCCCCAGCGGAGATCACCCAAGCGCCGGAGCACTTGGGCTCATAACCTGCGAACCCCAAACGGGGGGAAAAAACCCGAAGCAGCAGCGGCTGCCTCTTTCTTGAGCCATACAAAAGTGCGTGTCATCGCTTGTGCAGGGGCCATGCCAGTGAGACGACTGAAGCATGTAAAAACCCCTGAGACATGTGAACACTTCTTGATTTGTGCGTGTCCATCCAAATTGAAAATGCCACCACAAAAACAAATATATATATATATAATTATATATTATTTGATGGAATCATCTTAAACCCTTATCATATCATAATGATAACAATAAGAATAAACAACGTATTTTGCAGGGATGACCGGTATCTCAGATTGGACATGAACATGGCTGAAGTCAGATCGACTGAAGTCAGAGCGCCAGGACAGCCCAGTGCGCCTTGGAATTATGGACTTCCTTCCCTTCAGCTTTGAAGCAGCAGGACCTGCCGTGTGAGATGCAGAATATGGCATTTTAACCGGAACAGTTTTTCACATCATCTAGATTTATGGGCGATTATGGGGGATATTCCATATGTATGTTAGTTTGCTGGATATCTGAAAGAATGAAGCCGCAGCCTAGTTCTTGTTTGTAATTTTGCCATTTTTGTCAAGGTTTTTGAACTCAACCTCGCCACCGTTTCTCGGTAGAACATGCAGAACATGTTTTCAAGTTGAGTTGGATAGAGGCTCCAACTTCAAGTTTAGTTACCCTTGGATAATCTAACGCGGCAATGGGAAATCCCGCGTTAAAAAAATTGATTTTCCCAGCTACAAACCTCCATTTGGTTCGGGGATTTTCCAGCTTCCCAGTGGAATGGGAACTGAAATGGCCAGGACAAGTGGCGACCACATTTATGAACGTTCAAAGGCATCTCGTTTGCATAGTATTTGGGCACTCCAAGAGTCCCCTTGGGGGAGTCTAGTGACTACTGTGGTCCATTTGAGTGATGTTCGGACAATTTTGGACATTTCACATTTGTAGTAGATGTTAGCCCTTTTACTAGAAATGGGAAGTGACACCGTCGGGGTCCTGACGTTTGAAACAACATATCCTGACTTTGCTGGAAATGCGTTGGATGGTGCGGGGAAAAGTGACAGCAAGCAGAATGAAGTGAACCCATGCAGAATTTCCGCCAAAACGGTTCACAAACAATCCGGTTCAATCCAGCTTCACACCAGAAGGTTTATTGACTTATTTATCAAGTCGTGTGGTGACAGGTACACAATATTGCACAATGGTACACAACTAATTAATTGTTTCTTTTGCAGCATATGCCACATGGATACACTTGAAGAAAGAAACACATGAACCACCCATCCAAGTCCTTTTATTTTTGGAACAAGAGATATGATACCCTCTAAAAAAACATAGCAATCGTGACATCATGGCAATGGACTGGACTAAGAAAACCACCATTTAGAAAGATGGGTTTCTCCATTCAAAACCTCATTTACAGTGGAGAAAAACCCAAAAACCTCCGGCTATGGATTTATTTCATTCTATTTCGATGATTTCCAGCGGCCAAAAGTGTGACTCATGACACTTTTTTAGGGAATCTTGGCGTATCTAAGGCGCTTTGCCTATACCACACCCAAGAGTTTCTTGGAGCTCATCAAGCTCTACACAAGCATGGTGGGAATGAAGGCCGGACGTCTGTCGGGAGTTCACCAGCGGGGCGGGGGTTCGTGGGTTTCTATGACTGATGACTTCATGTCACATTCTGAATGACGGCCAGTGAACATGGTTAAATGCGCATGATATGAATTTCTGATTGTGGTCAGATTCGATGCTCGAAATATCTCGAAATGCTTGGAATTGAGATTCTGGAAGCTTTATATATACCTTTGCACCCACTGATCCTTTGAACTACTGACAGTCGGTCTTAGGCTTTGTCGAGTTCTGTTGGGTTGTTACAGTAAAGATCATCCCCAGAAAGATTTTTAAAAGCCATTTTGGCTCACTGAATCCAGATTTCCATGGGGAAGCACCGGAAAGTGTGAAAATTGCTGGGATTAATGCTGATACTAATGGCTGGTTAATAGTGATTAATAGTGGTTAATAATGGCTAAACATGGCTAATGATATAAAGCCTGGTTGGTGGTTTGGAACATGAATTTTATGACTTTCCATTCAGTTGGGAATGTCATGATCCCAATTGACTTTCATTTTTTTCAGAGGGGTAGGTATACCACCAACCAGATATAGCATCTCTTTGTTTTTGACATCCCGAATTTGTTCACTTCTACCGTGATGCGATGTTATACCCACCATGCTTGCGGGTCAGATATGGGCCATGGTTAGGGCTCAATGACGACCAAGACATTTTCTATCATTTTCTGTGTCCACAATGGTGTCAATACTTCGGGTCAACCCATTGCAGTCATTTAATTAGTCCTCTCCCCTACTTCGAAAAATCAGCGCCTTGCGGATTAAACACCCTCTGGAAATCACGGCGCCCACATTAGTGCCAAGTTGGACTCTTTTGAATCTTACCCAAGATATTTGTCCGCTCAGAATTACACAAAATATCTCAAAATATCTCAAAATTGCCTTGTATGTCATCTACAAAACACAAAAACGCTTTGGATTTGGATGGATGTTGGTCTTTCATGGTCTTTCTCTCCAAATTGTTGGACCAGCCTATTTGGTTTTCTTGGTTTTCATCCCTTGTTGTTGATACTTCAATCGATCATGATCTCATCCAATTCTCATCCAATGTGATGGGCGAAATCCCAAAGAAATTCCCAAGATGGACATCTTAGTGTTCGATCAATTTCCGTTTTGTGTTTTCATGCAACATTCAGCGGATCCAACCTATTTCTATTGTCGATCATGGGTTCAATATGGTTCAATACGCTGAAAAATTCATTTTTCCAAGGCTTCAATCCAAATTTATACAATTCTGACTGTATATGACTGTATTAATGTATGTATAGGAAAAAACATATATGAATTACATATATGATGTACATGTTTATAGTTTTCATATGGGTTTTTCCTATATGATTTCTATATGATCTGCCTGGAGTCGCCTCTCAGGTGGACGCCTTGGAGGACCAAAAGGATCGCTTGACCAACGGCCTGGAGAAGCTGCGCGCCACCTCGGAACAGGTCCGGTTTCTCAAAAAAAAGGCAATTCCCGTAGGATCCATGGTGCTGCTATATATGGTAACATGGATACCATCAATATACCCCCTTTATGTTAGCATTAATATACCAGCACCATGGATCCGTCATGGGATTGGAAAGTGTCTATAAATATCTATAAAATTCTATAAATATCTAAGTGTTAATGGGAACATCCTCTATAAACCGGATGGCCGGATGGTGTCTAGCATAATATATATATATATGCCATCTGGTTATGACTAACGGTTAGCCATGGAAAGATTCACCATTTTAAAGTTCGGTAAACCATCTATTTCTATGGGCCATCTATACCATGGCTATGTTAAATAGCCAGATGGTAGACTTCGAGTCGACTTCGAGTGATTTTTTGTTCAGGTTTTGGAAAATCGAGTTTCATCGAAAATTTTTAGAGATGATCCATAAGTCCATAAGCCATATATAAATCCAGAGATGATCCATAAGTCCATTATATATATATATAAAGCCCCTGGTTTTTTGTTGGGATGGGAAGTTTTTCAGGTTTGGGGTTGGTTTTGCTTCCAAAGTGAGATGCTAAAGTTTTTGTTCGTTCCCTTCCAGGAAGGTGGAAGGGTCATCAGGTCATCCCAGAGGAGGGCGCAGGTGCAACATCAAAAGAAGATCCCAACTGGTTGGTGGTTTGGAACATGGAAAAATATAGGGAAAATGGTGGTTTAATGGTGGTTTAATGGGCTTATGATGGCTGGTTGGTGGTGACTGGATCCTGAATTTTATGACTTTCCATTCAGTTGGGAATGTCATGATCCCAACTGACGAACTCCATCATTTTTCAGAGGGGTAGGTATACCACAAACCAGACAAGCATTTTATTTTTGTCCATGCAACATCCCAGTTTTGGATGATGAATTTCTGGTACGGATATGCTCCAATGTATGGAATGTTTAGCAACATTCACTCCGAACATCACCCAGCTTTACCATGGAGCATACGGGATGTATACCGGGGCAGAAAGAAGGTGCACATCATCATCATATGCATACATATATATATATACACAGTAAAATATACGTATATAAATATAAATAGATATAGATAATATAATAATTCAATATATATATAATATGTATATTAAATGTATATATAATTCAATATAATTCACCACATAGATGACCCATTTGTAGAGGATGCCTTTTACAAGTTCCCGGGGGTTTTCAGCAACTCCCAAAATTCTTCCTTCAGGTGGCTGGTTTAGAGGAAGAACTCAAGGAGAAAGCCGTGGTGGTGGCTGAGAAGGTGGGGGGCTGGATTCCCTGGATGGGTGAAGGCATGAGAACAGGGGGGGTCTTGTTTTTGGAAGAATAATCTTACTGTTGATTTCAACATGGAGACGGCATAACTTTTGGGGTTTCCATCTTTTTTTTGTTTTTGCTGGCCGAAAGCGAACTTGGTCACAAGTTAGGATATACCCGTTGAATTTCACCGGTATAGGCATTGTAGCCAAACCATTTATGGCGAGGAAGACTTGGGGCGGATTAGACAATTTTGAACAGTTGGGAAGTTGGTGTTTCCGCCACACAATGAGGTGCCTTGATTTTTTTCCGCACGTTGAGTGGTGAAGGAAGACTTGGTGTGAAGCTAAAGTAAAGAAGTTGTTGTAAGCAGCAACAATGGGGATATCAATAGCAATTGTAAGGGTTGTTTCATGTGTGTTTCCTTTCCATCCCTGGAAATGAAGAATACCTTGAAATTGATGAGAGTCAGAATTGGATAGTTTGATAACTCTGGTGATTTGTCCTATCCTATCTTATCCAATCTTCCCCCATTTTGGAATATGTCCTTCCATATTTGTTTCCTTGTTGTGACACCATTTCGAGTCGGAACCTGTTTCAGCCCCGCGATATTTCAATTCACGGTGAGCATTGCTCTTGATCATAGGAAGGCCTTCCTTTTTCTTTGATGACCCTTGTGATTACTCAGCACTCAGAGACCTCCTGAACTCCCAAACCTCAATTGGATTTTGCATAACGATCATCCTGTTGCTAGACGAGTCAGAACAATTCTGACTTCAAAAACTGCGAAGAGCTAACAGATGTCCTTTTTGTTGAACAACCCCCGTGCTCGCCGTGCCAGCCTTGCCATGTCGACCAACAGCCTTGGCTATACGGCCCGCACGGCTGCAATCTCTGATTTTTCTGCCGTGGGCGGCGAACTTCCTGAACTAGATATGGTGGACATCCGAGTCTGTGGCTTAAGTGGTGAAGAAATCATGCGAACAAAGCTGGCAGTTAGCACGCTAGGCCAGGAAGTGCAAAAGATTGTCGCAGAGAAGCTTCCATCAAGACCGGGTGCAAGATTTCTTTTGTATCAAGGTGTTTCCCAGTTGATGCTCAACAAGACCTTGCAAGAGCAAGGTATTGTGGGCCAAGAAGCGACGTTGACGTATACCTTTTGCTCAACGGACTTGTGTGCTGCATGGTCCTTTGTCCAAAGGCAGCGGCCAAGCCAAGAAGAGCCACTTGCATTGGAAGGCTTGACATGCATAGAAGGTGCCATAACCAGTCACTATCTGCGCAACCTGCCAGAGACCCTGCAGAGCTTGGCGTTTGGTCAGATGTTCAACCAAAACCTGGAGGGTGTGACCTTCCCAAGCAACCTGCAGAGCTTGACGTTTGGTCACATGTTCAACCAAAGCCTGGAAGGCGTCACCTTCCCAAGCAACCTGCAGATATTGACGTTTGGTCGCAAGTTCAACCAAAACCTGGAGAGTGTGACATTCCCAAACAATCTGCAGAGCTTGACCTTTGGTGACGGGTTTAACCAGAACCTGGAGGGCGTGACATTCCCAAACAATCTGCGGAGCTTGGCGTTTGTTGGACAATTCAACCAAAACCTGGAGAGAGTGACCTTCCCAAACAATCTGCAGAGCTTGACGTTTGGTCACATGTTCAACCAGAACTTGGAGGGCGTGTCATTCCCAAACAATCTGCAGAGCTTGACATTTGGTGACATGTTCAACCAGAACCTGGTGGGCGTGACCTTCCCAAACAATCTGCAGAGCTTGACGTTTGGTGAACATTTCAACCAAAACCTGGAAGGCGTCACCTTCCCAAGCAATCTGCAGAGCTTGACGTTTGGTGGACAGTTCAACCAAAACCTGGAGGGTGTGACATTCCCAAACAATCTGCAGAGCTTGACGTTGTTCAACCAGAAGCTGCAGGGCGTGACCTTCCCAAACAATCTGCAGAGCCTGACCTTTGGTCAGAATTGCGACCGAAACCTGGAGGGCGTGACCGTGACCTTCCCAAACAATCTGCAGAGCCTGACCTTGGGTCGGATGTTCAACCAAAACCTGGAGGGCGTGACATTCCCAAACAATCTGCAGAGCTTGACGTTTGGTTTCATTTTCAACCAGAACCTGGAGGGCGTGACATTCCCAAGCACACTGCAGAGCTTGGCGTTTGGTCATATGTTCAACCAAAACCTGGAGGGTGTGACCTTCCCAAGCAACCTGCAGAGCTTGACGTTTGGTCACACGTTCAACCAAAACCTGGAAGGCGTCACCTTCCCAAGCAATCTGCAGAGCTTGACGTTTGGTGACGGGTTTAACCAGAACCTGGAGGGCGTGTCATTCCCAAACAATCTGCAGAGCTTGACGTTTGGTTTTCTGTTCAACCAGAACCTGGTGGGCGTGACCTTCCCAAACAATCTGCGGAGCTTGGAGTTTGGTCAGATGTTCAACCAAAACCTGGAAGGCGTCACCTTCCCAAGCAATCTGCAGAGCTTGAAGTTTGGTGACGGGTTCAACCAGACCCTGGAGGGCGTGAACTTCCCAAGCAACCTGCAGATGTTGACGTTTGGTCGCATGTTCAACCAAAACCTGGAGAGTGTGACATTCCCAAACAATCTGCAGAGCTTGACCTTTGGTGAGGAGTTTAACCAGAAGCTGGAGCGCGTGGCTTTCCCAAGCATCCTGCAGAGCTTGAACCTTGGCACAAGCTTTATTCAAAACCTTGAGGCCGTGACATGTTTAAGTAGTCTTCGCAAGTTAGTGGTTCAAGATGTGGTGGTGAGCTGCCTGTGATCCCTTTTGTGCTGCGTATTTGAACGAAAAAAGCGACCAAATCCCTACTTGGGCGTCGGCCCGTTTTTCTCTGATGTATTTCGGAGCCGGGGAAAGCTGGCAGTTTGCGGGGCGTGTTGAAAAGCATAATTATCTCCAGATTAAGTTTGAGCTATGGTCATAAAATGTGAGGCCCCCAAGGTAGGTATTCTATATTGATATGATCAGGTTTACAACATGTTTTGTGGTCGATAAAACTATATAATTAGTTCTGTGGGCCATGGGTGAACATAAAATACATATGATTGGACCTTTGTCGAGCAATTTGAGCGCAACGTTTTTTCCATTACGTTCCCGAAAAAAAAAAAACTACCCTCACAAAATGGTGCCCCAGTTTGTGGTAGATATATCGAATTATGGGGGTAACATATATCATATAAACCAACATCACTGGCTGAACCTCACTAAAAATCACCATCTACCTCAGAATCTAAGAAATTATTCAAGTCCCATAGAATTATATAATAGAATTCTAATCCAACCCTGTCCATTCGGAACAGCTGTTTCAACTTCTGCTTTTTGATCAAACATTAAGATCCAAAGTCTTACGGTGTCAGATGCTTTCAAGAGTCTTACTCCGACCTTGCCCAAAGGAACTGCAGAGGTTCACTTTTTTCCCCCAGCCCATAGTCCCCATTATCCTCCGATCCCAGCTGTCAACTCCTCAACACTAACTGCTGTTTTTTGGTGTGTTCATTTAAGCACAAACGTTTTCGAGAAGAACGATGTTTTAAAGAAGAACGATTGTTCGAGAAGAATGCGCAAAGTTGTTTTTAACCCCTCTAAAATGCAACCCTAAATTTTACCCTACCCATCCCTACCCATTCTTCTCAAAAATCATTCTTCTCACTTTTTTTGGTGAAAAACTGTTTTGCAATTTCCACAGAGAAATCTCTGGTGAAAACGATTTCTCTCATGGGAGCGATCTTTGGTCATTTTTTTTTGGGCCAAACATGTCCTCAAACATGGCCCATGAGAACGATGAGTGACTTAACCATGGCATTTTTCCCAGTGATGCGTAATCACAGCGTAGCAGAATCATCATTACACCATATGTCACCCGAAAAGAGAACTGGGGCACCGGTACCCACCGGCGCCGTACCGCATCCCGGTTTGAGGCGGCGGCTGCGGACGTCTTCGCCAAGGAGGTGGGCGAGAAGAAAGCCACGGTCGAAGAAGAGTCCGCCAAGGCGTGGGCGCGGTGGTGACGTCCTGGTTTATTGATGTTTATTTGAGGGTAACTAGCTAGTTAATCAATGTTAATGTTAAATGTGGATGTTATGTTGATCTGAGGGTAACTACTATATACATCTATATACTACTATACCATATTATACCTATAGTTAGTTAATGTTGATTGTTAAATATGGATGGAGCAGTTGGTGGCTCCAAAGCATCGTTTTTCAGTCTTAGTTGCATGAAGCCTTCAAGGTTCATGACACTTGGAGGATAGTGGAAGAATCACCTATAGTGATATGAATACCCGGCCTGGGAAACGTTTACATAAACTATGGTTAGAATCACCATGCTATCACTGGGTAAATCCACTATTTCGACTGGGTCATGGCTTCAATCGCTTGTTGTAAACGTTGACCAGGCCGGGTATGGGATAGTCACAGGAATCGAGCCCCGATCCATCCGTGGAATGATCCCAACCAGTTGTGCAAAAAACACACAGATATAAAAAGGCCGAAGTGTTCAGGTGAGTTAGCTCTAATTCAGCTCTAGATGGAAGTTTTTGGAATTGATATGAATTGATCGCTGTCTCAAATCATATTATCATATCCCATTCCCCTCTTTTGATATACCATGGTGGAGGAGATTTAGTTCGGAAGGCGGTGATGTTTCTTTTGAATGAAATGAAACTACCCCAGAATTACTAAATGGCTATGGATCAATACCTATACATACCATTTTTAGGGGGATGAACATCCATTTACCAGCTATTTTGATGTTCACCAGGGGTACAAGGTTTTGACCCATCCCCAAATAACTAAATGTAACGGTCACTCCCCAAGCAGCAGGACCCCAAACCATGAACAGATCCAGTACTAAACCAGGTCTGGGTTGTTGCTCAAACTGGTTGGGTCAAGGGATTTTGCTTTTGGGATCCCCAAAAAAACACTGCTCAAATAACTTGGATATGTTGTTGCTATTGGTAACCAACAAGCATATTTGTTAACCATGAAAACTAGCAAACTTGCAAAACAAATGGTAAATCGTGATGCATCATGGTGACAAGTTACTTTTTCTATTTTGGGGCGTACCATTGAAAATCCCACGAAATGCCACCAACTCCCACTATTTTCTTGGTTAAGTAGTTTAAATCCATGAAACACGCACAATTATATCGATCCATTAAACACCCCATGGAAGGTTAGTTATATCCTGATTCTAGCCACAATATGTCATCATAGCTCACTAGAGTGAACTATACTTATATGATCTTATATGGGTACAAGTCAAAATTAACTACCCCAACACTATAGATAACTGGTGATTACTAACTTTAGACTAAGATCTGTGGTTCTTTAGGTCTTTAATTTTGACCCATCAACAGATCCGATAATGATCTCCAAAAAACTGACTCAAATCGGAGTCCAGGCGGCTGTGGAAGCCGAGAAATGCGCCAAGATCGCCAAAGATGTCACCTGCAGTTCCCAACGCGGAGGGGGAGCGGATGAACTTCACTGCAGGTTTTATTGTAGAAAAGCCGAGGAAAAAGATGAGACATTTCTACCAAGAATATCAGTAGGGTGATTTGTTGGTGTGTTTAGTTGAAACAACATGTCGCAACACAAGTATGATGATGCTTGGTGTTAAAAGTTAAAGTTAGCTATGTTGGTTTCTGTATTTGAACATATTTGAATGATATCATTGCATTGTACTATGAATAATATGCAGAAGTTGAGTTCGGTAGTTTGAGATATGGATTCCTGGAGGCTTCAAAACCTACGGATTTCCCCAGAACTCCGGGGGCATGGGGGATCCAGAACTCAACTGGAAATCCTTGGGCCAAATTTGGTGACCTGCACGACCTCTAGGACCTGTAAAAAATCACCGGAACGCAGGTGACATGTGAAAATCTTCGTTGGTTAGGCCTGACGTTTCTTGTTGCTGAAAAACCATGATATTTTGCTGAAAAACTTCACTTCCATAGTTTGTTTGCCGCTGCAATCAGATTGTTTTGCTAAAATCGTCGAATCGCGGGCAAGAATCACGGACTGTTTGTTGGTGATTTTTGCTACCAGTAAAAGCAGGATGTTTACAGTATTTGTGAGTATTTGTTTCGTGAAGGTCCTTGCCTTCTCCCAGATATCATCCCACAGATATCCCATGATAATCGCCATAAAGTTGTTGGTTAACTCATAAAATCCCAATGATATTCCAATGATATTCCATAATAATAGATAATCCCCATAAAAGTCCCAATGATATCTAACCTTATTAAACCTGCCACAATTACACCCAATTCCAGTAAACCTCCATTTTCCCATGGTTATCCCATCACTATCCCAATTATCATCCCAATCATTATCACAATTGTCATCTCAATGATATCCCTTTTTGAATCCCTATAAAGTTGTTGGTGAACCCCATTTATAATTATTATACTGTTGATTTCCCAATGATTAATCATTCTTTGATTCATAGGGGATTAACCTATACCTTTCCCATGGATTTCCCTATATTTTCCTCCCCAAAATGGCATAGTCATCCCAATTGATATCCCAATGGTATCACGTTTTCCCCATGTTTTCGAGGTCAATTTTGGATGGGTAGTTTAATCCTTTAGTCCTTTGGTATCAATGGGATTATCTACTAACCAGCTAAGAAATTATTTGTTTGAAGAGTATCTAAGATTGGCCATGTTTTTTCCCCAAAAAAAACAAGGCCTTCTCTCGTGTCTGATGCTTTGCCTCTGAGGTCTCCATTCAGCAGGCGGATTGCGAGAAGGACTTGGCTGCTGCCATTCCTCTGGTGGAACAAGCCGAGGCGTCAACTGGCGCTTCGCTGGTGTTTTTTCATGGGGGGCTTCAGCCGGGCTTCAGACCGGTGGAAACAAATGGTGGGTTGAAGTGTCAAAAATGGTGAAACATAGTGGCTTAAGTGTCGAAAATTGTGGTTCGAATGGTGGTTCGGCTGTCAAACAATTGCAAACAAATGTGTTTTCGGATGATTTCAACTTCAAACACATTGCAAGATAATGACGGTTTTCACCGTTTGCTATGGATGGCCTGTTTGGTTTGACAAACGGATGACTTAGGTACTTTTAAAAACGGCGATCTCCGGCGATCAACATTTGACCAGATGGGAAGTGTCACTGAAAATTGGGGGAATGAGGAGTTTGGTAGCTGGGTTCTTTGAGGGTCCGCTACTGCGGTGCTACTGTACGGTCCGCTGAAAACAATTGGATGTTTTTGGATGGGTCCAGAGCTATGAAATTCCCATGAGGTGATTTAGGATACACCTGGGGTGTTAGGTTGTGACTGGCCATGTATCCTATTATCCTCTTGAAAATGGAATGAACTTTGGGTTCCATGAGTCTTCCCAGCCAAGTTATTAAGTGGTTTATATTAATGACATAAGAAATGATGACTGTGTTGTTTAGAGTTTAGTTTACTCTGGCTTGTAGATAAATATATGAGTTTATATGGACCAACTTATAACAGGGGGACCTCCAATTCAAGCTGCTTGCAGCTTGACCAACTTGTCAAGCTGTTTGTTACCCTCCAGTGGTCAAAAATGGCAAGCAACAAACTCCCGAAGATTTTCAAGAAGATTTTCCCATGGTAATATCATTTATAGGGTGGTTTTCCAGCCATGTTTGATTGCCAGAGGGTATTGTTTCAACAGCTACGTTTGCGAAAAAACAAGACCATTCCCGGCCAGAAAGCCTTGGATGTGCTCGACAAGAAGGTGCCAGCTGGAAGTCACATGAGGATCAAAATATACCGATGTATATGGATGATCATCCATCTCGTTTCGGGAATCCTTACAATAGGTACCCGGCCTGGTAAACTAACAGTTCGCGAACTGGAAAATGGCCCAGTCGAAATGGTTGATTTACCCACTAAAAATGGTGATTTTCCATAGTTATGTTAAATTACCAGAGGGTATTTGAAACAAAAGAAGACAACAATCCCTACAAGGTGGTGCCCCAGTTCGTTAGCTAAGTTGGTGAACATAACTCCAATTTCACTATGGTTTATGGTAGATATATCTCTCGTATTCATGATATTCATGGGGGTTATAAACCACCATTCACATCACTGGGGGGGCACCAACTTGTGTACACCCAACCAACCAAAATTGGGGATTCAAATGGATGGTTGAGTTCAATTGGGTATCTTGGTTCATCTCCAATACCATGGGGGATGCAAATGGTTCAGTAACTAATAAATGGATCAATCCCTTTTGTGGGAAAATGAGCCATGATTTGACCATGACACACAACACACATGGCAGAGCAAGACTTGGATCAAGGGAACATCAAGTTGAAGTCACCAGGTAAGCCCTACGTGTATGGTAATCCGAGTGTTTGACGGATTTCAACTTCCGATGTTTATATATATATATGCAATATATAATAAGATATATATCATAGATATACATATTATATATATATAATTATATTATATAATATTATATAATTATATAATTATATAATTAGATTTGTTTTAAATATATATATATATATGTACTCAGTGTGTTTTGTCCAAACATCTGTGACTCATTTTACCCCCCCAGTTTAATCTACTTTGTCGTGATCCACTTTGTGTCCGATGTTTGAATTTTCTCCGTCGCGACTCTCGGGGAGGCTTTCCCCAGCTGGGGATCCATGGAAAAAAGTAACAAGTTGGGAACAAAAGTGCTTGGTATATATGGTACCCTCTGGGAAACTAACATAAACTATGGAAAATCACCATGTTTAATGGGAAAATCCACTATTTCTATGGATCTCATATTTATCTGGGGAAATTATAACGACCTCACTGTTCTCCCTCACTGGAAATCATGGTTTATTTTAGGGAAATCATCCCCAAATGGCCGCAAGATTCAGGTTAGTGAAATATTATAATTTACCCAGATATATGGTACCAGTAGCGATGATATATCAAACTATTTGATGATCAAAAATTAGCGTTTGCTATCATATAAAGTATCCTAATATTTGATGATCAAACTGAAAAAAACGACCAGTTACGATTCGTTACGATGGTATATATATATATGGTAGCAATATGGTAAAGAAAGGGAACAATATATAGCACAAAAAAAGGTATTATTTAACAATATATTTGATGATTTTCTACATCTGTTCTTGGGGAAGCCATCTATGAATATAATTAGTTCAATCTTATCTGATTGGTGGTGACTGGAACATGGGTTTTTATGACTTTCCATATATTGGGAATGACATAATCCCAACTGACGAACTCCATCATTTTTCAGAGGGGTAGGTAGCCCCCACCAACTATAGTTATTGTTCATGATATTGTTCTTTATTCTGTTTAATTAGCCATTCCCATATGCTCCATGTATGGAATATTTACCTACATTTACCCCAAAAATGGCACAAATGTAGGTAAATATACCATACATAGAGCATATGTGATTATATGCCATTATTATTCTCCATTAAATATTGATACGCACATTTAAATACCATTAAAAGTCACCACGATGATCATCCGACCGGCGGGGAAATACCATTAAAGTCCATTAACATTCATTAAAATCCATTAAACTCGACGAAATCACCATTAAAATCTATTAAAACAGAATGAAAACCCATGAATTCACCATTCTTCTCTTCGATCCAACTAGTGAAAGGACTTGTCTTTTTCGGCGCTGCAAGGACTTCCAGGAGCTGAAAGCCTTAGCGAAGCCGCCCGGTGGGGTGGACCTGGTGTGCGAGGCCGCCATGCACCTACAGGCGAGATGTAGGGGATGGAAAGGTGATTTAGGCGATTTTGACATGGTCAACTGGGATGAAAAACCATGAACGATAATTTATATAATGATATTGAATGGATAAGAATGGCGAAGAATAGTCGTTTATCACGGCTGGATCCATCTTGATGGTACTTTTCCACAATGGTTTCTGATGGCCGATCATTAAGACCTAATTCATGATGGAATTAACCGACAAACATAGGAACGTATGATGGGGGTATAATGGGAACAGATAGAAAAACTATGATAACTTGGTAGTGCTTCAAGTCTAGATAAAAATCATGTGGATTGGAAGAGAGAATGAACATTGAACATGATCTGATCTGGACTACCCTTTTTTCTTCATTCTGTTGCTCTTTCAAAAACATCATTTCTGTCCGTGAAATGTAGTACCCCCAAGTCCTTGACGTTGACGTAATCATCATGTTCCTTTATGTTCCAACGGGCATGGCATCAGGCTGGCTACGATGAGAACATCGAGCTTGACAAGAAGGGCTTCGTCAAGGAGCTTTTTTAACATACCCTCTGGTAAACGTTTACATAACTATGGAAAATCACCATTTTTTAATGGGAAAATCAACTATAAATGGCCATTTTCAATAGCAAACTGTTGAATTACCAGAGGGTAATCCATGGGCTCCTGGGCGAGCTCCGCGGAGCTCGGAATTGAGTGTCACAATCGATAGTTTCCTCGCTGAAATGTCTCCAAAAATGGGATGCAAAAAACCACTCAGATGTGGGAATAGAAACGACCAACAATATCCAACAATGACCAGCTGCCCTTCAGATGTGAGATGTCAATAGATCTGATATGATCTGATGGTTCATCAAGGTCCTGCACTTTTGGACAGCCAAATGATGTTTGGTCACTACTAAAGCGGATCTCAAGAACCACCGGCAATTTGTAGATCTCGTTCTTCCCTGAGGGACCAAGCATATTATTGATGTGGTCGTAGACAATTCAGTGCTCATACACTTTTGCGACCTCAAACTGGTTTCAACTTGCTTAAACTTGGTCTTGTTTGTTTGATTGCTTATTTTTTACATGTTTTTTTTTTAAACCATAGCATGGGAACATCGACAAAGCAGCGAAAACATGCAGGGTATTCCACTCATTATCACGTCAATCATGTCTGCTCAAAACGGGGGCAGGATCCCACCTGGAAGGGTGCACAGAAGATGATGAACAATCCAGAGAAGTTCCTGCAGAACTTGAAGGGCCGCCCGGTGATGCCTGCGCTGGGAGGGAGGTGATCCCTGGGCGATGAATTGGTAAGGTCAACTCCGGATTAATGGGTCCCCCTGGGTCCCCCGGGTGGTTTAATTATGAGACACTCTGCTGGAAAAACAGAAAGTTGGAAGTCAAAAAAGACCAGACTTCCCAAGCGCACCGGTTTGAACCAGTCAATGCTGCAATTTTAAATCAAACGGATCCCGTTTAAACGGGAGAACATCAGTATTTCTCACCATGTGTTTACAGTTTTATCTAAAATCTATCTGCACTTTGAAGTGCAAGGCTTCAACTGAATTACTTGTTTTGACTTGGGATGATTTGGGTGCATCCGAATGATGTACCCTCCGGTAAACTAACATAGCCATGGAAAATCACCATTTTTTATGGGTAAATCCATCATAAATGGCCATTTTCAATAGCAAACTGTTAAATTACCAGAGGGTAGTCAGTAATAACTGAAGTGTATCCAACAAAAATCACTGGCTAACATTAAATGCTGAGATGCCAGGGACAAACATCTACCCGGATGACATAGGAATTTTTGGTGGTTGTTTGTTCCCATTGTTGATGGTTAATTTAACCAATCACTATGAAAATAAACTATTGGGGCATTATTACAAACCATTAAATGATTGAAAAGCAAGATCAACTGTGAGGTACTGATACCTCTATTATTAGGCACTATTTTTATTCAGCTTCTCTTATTATGCGAGGCTTCAAGAGCTACATCGACGACGGAAAGGTGCCACAGCAAAATGTGGAGAAGGCACGAAAGATCCAGACCAACATGGGCGATGAGTTCAGTGTCTTGGTTGAGAAGGAACCGTTGAACCGTGTTTTGTTTTTTTTAATCCTGGAGGATCTGGATATCCAAAAATATGTATAATATACATGTATATTATATATACTACATATATATATATATACGTATATATATATGATATTCTGGCTTAAAGACAGCAGTGAAGCAAAAGGAATACAATTGTTACTTGTTTTGTGTTGAATTTTTTTCTTTGAATGAAGTTGTTGTGGGCTTCAGGTTGTTTTGTCTTGGAGAACCAAATTGTACAAGATTTCCCAAGCTTTGTCCTGCCGCAAGCTGGGAGAAGGATTCCGAAGGATTCGATCTCTATCCAACTGAAGTGAGGATCCATCATGAGTACCGCACTTTTTGGGCGGATGTGGGATAGCTACTGAGCATCTTGTGAAAAAAATCAGCGGGAACACAGAAAAACCATTACTTGGATGTGAATCTCACTTCATATACGGTTCATAGATATTCATAATCATTTTGGAGCCCACAAGTGGAATCTTTACGAGGTGTATGGCTTGTAACCCCTTCGCAGATTCCTGGCTCCGATCCACAATTTTTTTCGACGCGCCAAGGCAAGGAGGGCATGTCCAAAAAGTCCTCAGCTGCCGCGGGCCTTTGCGCAACTTGCCGCGGCAGGAACAGTGGACATAGATTTCTTCGTGGAGAGCACTGTATGGTAGTATTTGCAGGGAACCACAAAAACATGAACATTCAAGATTGTCTCATAGTTTTTGGATGTTTTTGGTACACCGTAGTGAATTTTAATGTGTTTTTAGGATCATGTGTGGTTATTTTGATGGATAAATTGCTAAACAATGGTTATCAATGGTTGGTACAGTAGTCTCTGCACACTCAACGAAGCAGTGTGACATGGGATTCGTAGACCTGGAGATTGAAGAAACCACGCTGTGCCATGGCTACCCCCATTATTTAGATAATCACTGTGGCTTGGGGGGAGATCATCACTGTTGAAAAAAAGTCGAATGTGACTGGATGTGAATGAGAATTGCAAGTTTAGATCACTGCATGCTATACCAACTTGGTGCCCAAAATATCCTTGGATCCCTCTGGTATTCCATCCCCATTCTTCGGCTTGGGACTCATATTAAAGGTGGTTGTCCGATTCCCCCACCATAAGAGATGTATCTTTTACTGGAATAGATGGTACAAGTAAACCCATCTACTCCCAAAAATGTAAAAAAAATAAATCCATCAAAAAAACATGACACACATGTGATCGAAACCTAGGAAAAACAATCACTCAGCTCCACTTTTCTGATATGTTTTTGTTCCCCATCTCAGCTCCTCAGCTCCTCAGCTCCTCAGCTCCTCAGCTCGTCGCAGGTCTGGATCATCAATATGATTAATTTAGTATATCCCTATATATATAATTATATATAAATATAATTATATATATATGTTCCTCTAAATCCCTACAATTTCCTATAAATCCATATGTGTTTCCATAGAAATCCCTACATTTCCCTATATCTTTCCCAAAAAATCCTGTAAATTTCCGATTCCAGGTCTGGATCATCAACATCATCATGTACTACGACGTGGTGGTGCAGGTGGAGCCGAAGCGCAACGCCCTGCGCGAGGCCACGGACACGTTGAACGCGGCCAACACGAAGCTGGCAGAGGTCAAGGAACTGGTGCAAACCTTGGAAACGAACCTGGCAGCGTTGAATCTTTTCGGCAGTTTTTCAAGTCCCTATAGGATCCATGGTGCTGGAATATTTATACCTACTGTATGGAATATTTATATAATATTTATACCTACATTAGGATTATTTGGAAAATTACATACATGGGGTCAATGTAGGTAAATTTTCCAGCACCATGGATCCTAAATGGAGTGTTTCGTGTTTTTTTTTTCCGGCCTGGTAAACATACGAAAAACGATGGAACGATCCACCATGTTTCATGGGAAAACTCACTATTTCGACTGGGCCATTTTCAGTAGCAAACTGTTTGTTTACCAGAGGGTACTTACTGGTGCTAAACGTAGGGAATGGATGGGTTGCTGGGGTTGCTGGGATGATTATTGATAGTTAGCCAGTGGATCATTCCCTCATTCCCTACTAAGCACCAGTAAGGATTTCAGGGGATAGTTCATGGAGTGAGTGAAAGTGCCTTGTCGTTTCTGGGATTTCTTCAGGGAAGGGGAGATATGTATCTTTGACATGGGATTTTGGATGGTGATTTTGATGGGTTTTAATGGGTGTTTGATGGGTGTTGATGGACTTTAATGAAGATTTAGCCAGAATTTTACTGGGAATTCAATGGGGTGTTAATGGGAATTGTTCAACAACATCAGAAAAAATACAGAAAAACGATCCCAGGATGGTTATAGAATCATCATGTTTAATCCCTTTAAGATCTCCACTCTTTGGTGTTTGACATCTTCAAAAACATGGCCGCCTTCCAGGATGAAGGAGTTTGACAAGGCGATGGCCGAGAAAAGTGCGCTGATGGCAGATGCCGAGAAGTGTCAGAACAAGCTGAACATGGCACAGCGTCACTTGGGGCTTTACTTGTGATTTAATGGACAAATTTAATGGGAATTAGTGGTGATTTAGTGGTGATGTATCTGAAAATAGGTGTCTCTTTTTTCTTGACCGACGAATCATCATGCTCAATGCATAGGAATGCCATTTGCATTTGGTGGGTATACCCTCTGGTAATTTAACATAGCTATTTAACATAGTAATTTAACATAGCTATGGTTGATTTACCCATTAAACATGGTGATTTTCCATATTTGTTTGTATGTTTACCAGAGGGTACCTCATTTTCAGTCACATCCACAACTGGGGCTTTGGGGCATGGAACATCCAATGGTGATTTCATCAGAATTCCGTGAAAATTTGGACATAACTAGCCAGAAATAGGTTTTTGTTTGATGGGGAGAACGGTGGTTATACACTTAGGGTTGAAATGGTTTGGTGTTGACAGAGAGTGACCTGGAAAATTTTGGAACAGGAGCACATAGGATGTTTGGAGAATGATTGGTGTTTCGCAACTGAATAGTCTAGTGACTGGTTAAAAGTGGTTGATGTGGTTTCACTCTGTTGCACTTACTTTCACTTCCATCCTTATCTGAGATGATTGTTAATGACTCATTTGACAATCATTTGACTCATTTGTTATTGACAAACGAGACGTCTGAACCAGCCAAGTCGCCATGACGGCTATGACGGCTATGACGGCTATGACGGCTATGACGGCTATGACTGGTTGGTGGTTTCAAACATTTTTTATGTTCCATAATATATGGGATGTCATCTTTCCCATTGACTTTCATATTTTTCAAGATGGTTATTGCACCACCTATTCTTCAAGATTGTTATTGCACCACCAACCAGATGAGGTTTGGTGGGTGCTCTGGCAGCCAACGGAGTCATTTGGGAGCAGACGGTGGAGAATGCTGGGCAGGACCGACCACCAATGGCCGAGTTGGGTCCATGGCGGAAGCCCCATGGCCGGCGCTAGTAACAAGTGACCGGAGGGCAAGGTACATCGACCTAAAAACTACCCGGCCTGGTAAACTAAGGTAACTATGGAAAGATCCACCATTTTCTAGCTGGGTAAATCCACGAACTTTCTAGCTGGGTAAATCCACGAACTTTCTATGGCCATGTTCAATAGTTTTTTGTATGTTTACCAGAGGGTAAAAGCGTTGACCTGTTGACGCGGTCAAGCCATTCCAACACGGGGTCCAGGTCTTTGGTGGTGAGAGAAATGCAGATATAGACTATGTCACTTCACTTAATTGTACGATAAAGTGCTGGTAAATTCAGGTTTCAATCCTTTTTATTTGCAGGATAAAAAACTCGTTCCCAATTTTGCTGGATAACAAACTATCTACCAGGTTTATATATACCATTTATACCCAGCTAATCATCTAACCCTAGATTTATCTAGCACATTCTCCACAAACCACAGTTAAACCCACAGTTCAACCACACTAAGCCATACTTCCAACATCGCCAACCGTTCCGTTACAAGGACCTGGCTTCTCCGCCCATCCTTCGTGTTTCTTAACGGGGCGCCCGGCCGCGAAAGGAGTTGGTCTTCATTCCGGGGGACACCTTGGTCGCCTGCTCCTACGCCTCCTACGTAGGCGTCTTCACCCGTCAGTCGCTAAACCGCGGATGTGGAGGGATGGGGGCGGATGGTGACCACGGGAAGCCAAGAATGGTGATTTTTCATGGTGATTAAGCCACCAAAATGGTGATTTTTCATGGTGATTTAATGATTTAAAGCTGATTTAATGGCGTTTTAGTGGTGATTCAGGGGAGTTTAATGGAGTTTTAATAGCGATTTAATGGGAAATTCAATTTTGGAAATTCGTGGTGATTGAGTGGTGATTGAATGGTGATGAAGCCAGCAAAATGGTGATGTTCAGCAGGAAAAGTTGTGAGACATGGCAATTGAAGCATGAAACATGGTGAAAACATGGATGGTTTATATAAACATCAGACATAGTGAATCATAGGATTTTAAGCGTGAAAAATCAAAACTCTCTGGTTGAGTGGGTTCTGGTTGGATATGGTTGGCCACTCCACTTAAAGTCATATAATCCTTGATAAGCCTTCATTTGTTTAACACATTGAACCCAAGAGCAGACGGAATCAGACACCCACTTGAACCCTCCAGGTTTGCTTTGATGTTACAGATATTTAGAAGCGGTTTTAGACATTAGACAGATTCAGAATGGTTCAGGGTTCATAGTCATCGTCAAATCAATATACCTGCAGTGACACTGGACGGATCTTACGGATCGCGTTAATCAAGGCCACGGAAAGCCCAGTGCTGAGCAGTGCTGGTTGATGGTTTCACACATTTTGGTATGCCGGTCTGTCTGAGAATGGGATAACAATTTCATGCAATTCAATAGATAATAGGGAAATACCCTCTGGTAAACTAACATAGCTATTGAAAATGGCCATAGAAATAGTGGATTTACCCATTGAAAATGGTGGATCTTTCCATCGTTATGTTAGTTTACCAGAGGGTGGACATGATGATCAAGCACCCAATTTTAGGAGTAGCCTATGTTCAGAGAAGCCAACTTTTGGAAGGGATGGCGGGCTCAGCATTAACCGATCCAGAAGGTGAGACCCCCTGCTAAAATTTGAAGATAACTTGGTTAACAGTTGGGTTTATGATATATATATATATTTATGATGGTTTATGGGCCATACATATCTATACATATCACTATACTAACAATGGAGTGTATAGACCAACAAACATCAAGTTTCAAGTTTGGTCCTCACCTTGTGCAACACCCCAGATTCATATTCGAGTGGTCGAGGTATCGCGAAGACACGGTAGATGCCTTCGTGCAGTATCTGACGAAGAAGGGCGTGCCACTAGGTGCGCTTCTTGCCGATCCTGCAGAAAGGGCGCAGAATCTTTCAGAAGGGAATGCTGACATTTTACCGGCATAGAATGACAATGTTACCCGACAGTCTGGAAACATTTAGATGTTCAAAATCCATCATTTTCTTGTAGATCATTGTCTGGTTTCGGTTTGAAACCCATTGGTTTTCCACAACAGATGTTAGTTTACTCCAGGGCAACTCATCAAAATCTCAGTTAAAATCCCATTTTTGGTCCAGTAATAAACCCCATCAAATCCCATAAATTCATATAAATTCTATAATTTCCAAGAAATCAAAAACACCATGGACCATAGATTGTTTACGGAAAGTTGCTGCCTGTAGGATCATCCAATCGGGTGCCAGCGTAACATGAAGAACTGGATGCTGGCCTAGAAGTCCCACCAAAAATAGATACTGTATACCCTCTGGTAACCATACAAAAAACTATGGAAAATCACCATTGTTCATGGGAACTATTTCTATGGCCATTTTCAATAGCTATGTTAGTTTACCAGAGGGTATCCATGATGTGTGTTTCTTATATATATATACACTAGCCAGATCTGTGTATGAATTTACCTATCGACTGGTAGCCTCATATAGTAAAGCATATGTGTGTGTTTCCATAAAAAGCCCAGAATCGGTTGCAGGGAACACCGGAAAAGCCCTATATGATTAGTGTTTCAAGCGCAGACATTTCCCTGAACCCATTTGTTTGTTCATGTATGATGCTGAGACCAAAACAATGTTGATGGTTGGAACGATAAAACCCTGATGTTTGCAGCATCTTCGACACGAAAAAAAACATGTGAAAAACAATCAACCAGGTTGATGCTTAAATCACGATGATTTCCAGCATGTTTCAGGAAGTTTCAGGTGCCATTAGTTTTCCATGAAACATGGTTTTCCATGGTTTTTCCATGGTTTTTCCATGGTTTTCCATGAACCATGCTTAGTTTTCAGCAGCTTTTTCCATGGTTCATGGTTTTCCAGCACCACGTTGTTTCCGCATTTTTCTGGGCAGGCCCCAAACCTGATCCCTTGGCAGTGCTGGCCACTGATGCGGAGATGGCAGCCTGGGCAGGATGGTGGTGTTTGATGGTGTTCTTCATGATTTGACACATGATTTTCAGATGTTTTTAACACTTTTTAGTGTGAATGATGTTTGATGATGTTATATGAACATGATTTCTATTGATTTATGATTTGTTCTGATTCTTTTATGATGTATGTTGATTGGTTAAGTCCCAAAGGAAACTAGACTATACAACTTCGAAATCAAACATAAGGGTATTTTGTTTCCGACCACGATGAACTTAAGGGGAGTACCCTCTGGTAAACTAACATAGCTATGGAAAATCACAATTTTTAATGGGAAAATCCACTATAAATGGCCATTTTCAATAGCTATGTTAGTTTACCAGAGAGTATGGTCTCTGAAAAGGTCCCTGGCCCCTGGAACGACGGCAGGACAGGGCTTGCCATCGGACCGTGTGAGTTGCGAGAACGGCGCGATTCTCTGCAACTCGCAGCGCTGGAGTGTCTTGGGCGATGTGAATGGTGAGTTGTCTGAAGGTCTCCACCAGTAGATACAGATACTGGTTGGTGGTTATTCATGGTTATTAATGGTTATTAATGGTTAATGATGGTTAATGATGATTAATGATGATTAATGGCCATTTATTAGTTATAAGTACTTATAAGCCCATTTATAGAATGTATATGAATGTATAATCCCATAGAAATAACCAGTTATAACTGGTAAATGGCCATACCTGCAAAGATCCCCATTTGGGGCAAGGTGCCCCAAATGCAGTGAAACATGGTTGGTTCAGCCAACCATCAACCATCATTACAGGTGGTTTTTCCAGAGATTTCAGGAATGAATGGGGGCAGGGATGAGAATCAGGTTTTCCAAGTCAGCATCTAGGGAGTATACCAAAATGTGAATCAGAATGGCTCTGAATGTATCATCCAAAAAGAATACGTAGATTCTGTCAGCAAACAATCAACACTTTCTCCGGGAATCCGCACTCGATTCCTGGGTCTTGTCATGCCATACCCGACTTTTGCACATGCGATGGGCAGCTGGAAGTCCTGTTGCTGATTTTCAGTTTGAATGTCCCATGTTTTTGTTGGTGTTAACTTCAGATATGCCCATAGGGCCCATAGGGTAAAGTAAGTTTGGTAGGTTTTGTAGGTCAGATTCCTATTCCACCCACTTTATGCTTAATTACTGGTTGGGGGTTTGGAACATTTTTTTCCATATATGGGAATGTCATCATCCCAACTGATGAACTCATATTTTTCAGAGGGGTAGGTCAACCACCAACCAGATGATGTATAACTAACCCTGTGTTTTTCTCTTGGCTTTTTGTCCCCGTTTTTGTGGGTGTTTTTTTTTGTTCATTGGGGTTCCGTGGAGCCTCAGGCTTGATCATCGATCCACAGCTTCAGGGTATTGCAACTTGGCAGTGCTGGCCTGCAGATGTTGATGATGTTGATGGTTCATGGTGAGAGTGATGGTTCTTATTAACAATGTTGATGATGCTGATTAATCATAGTTACTATCAATAGTATATAGTTGCTACAATGAATATCACTTTATTGTTGTCATTATGTAATTATATACTAATTATTGATTTTAATGATATGATATGGAAAATGAATGAACATGAACATAATATTGGTATGATGTTGATACTGATTCATAATTGTTATTACAATAATGAGTATACACATGTTATTATGATAATTGTTGATGTTGATTTACACTGATAGTGCAGTAATAATAATAATAATGATGATGATGATGATGATGATGACGATGATGATGATGATGATGATGATGATGTTGATATGTTTGTCCATTCTTGCTATTACCATTACTACATATGCGGTGTGTTGTATTTAGTACATCACTAAGTTTTATTTTGTTCCTACTATCGGTAGTATTAACATATATTAACATCATGTTGTTGTTGTGGATGTTGCGGCGGTCCCGCTCCAACCTCTTGTCGACGGCATCAGGTGTGGATCAAGAATCGCGAGTCGGACAACGGCTTGCAGGTCACACGCATGGGCCATTCCAAGCTACTCGGTGTGGCCATGGAATGGTCGATGATGTCGACTTGGTGTGGGGCTGTGGTAGTGGGATACCAACATAGCGGACATAGCGTTTGGGTATGTTATGTGTGGGTTATTGTAGAAGACTACCCAGCCCTTGTTTCTTTTTTGTTTGAAGAATTCTCAGGAGGTCAATGGGCAAACAGAGAAACAACATGACATTGTCTCTGAGATTTCCGGCATCCAACATCGAAAACATGGGCCAGATATGGCCTTCCGAATCCAAAGGTCGCGCCAGTGGCGCATACATTTCACTTTGTGTCAGTAACGCGGATGATTGTCACTATGGCCCATAGACTCAGTGGTTGTATCTTGTGTTTTCTTTCATAGGTTGTAGATGATAATGCGATCCGTTCTACAGTTGCTCTCCATGTTATGGGCTTGCCTGAAAGTTCGGGGTACAGTACCTCTTGACATGGCTATAAGATGCTATAAGTTTGAGTAAATCCTCAAGTTTGGGACTTAAACCCACTTAAACCCACTTCATCTATTATTCATCATTCAGGCTGATGAAATTTCCTTTAAAATTGCTGCTCCGTTGGTCCTGCAAAGTGGTGAACTGTGTGTTTTATCTGTGCTGCTTGATGTTATCCCCAGTCCAACTATTTCGATATTGAGACATGTCTATCATAATCTGAAGCTAGTTCTTGGAATTATGTAACAACTAAGTTCTGATGTTAAACTTGTGCACAAACTTACATCAGCTAACCAACTTGGGATGAACACATTATCCTCACTACTGTATTTTTTTCATTACCACCACTTTTTGAATATGTTTGATGGTTAAGTCTCAATTTGTGCTAGCTAAGTTAGGATTATCTCCCATGAAATATGATGAAATACGGGGATTTCCATAAATGTACCCAATTTCATGTATCATCCATTTCAATCGGATTTTCCTTAACAAAACTCATCCAGCTATTGTGGCACTATGAAATCCGCACGGTGACTCGAGGATGTTGTCCACCTTCGAGATGTCTTTGGATCAGGGAAAGCCCGTGCTGATCGAAAATATGGGCGAAGGCGCGCGCTAGCGCGCGCGTTTTACGTGGGCGAAGAAGACTCATGCTCTATAAAATCTTAAAATATTTTTAAAAGAACAATAGTTATATATATATATATTACCCATAGGATCCATGGTGCTTGTATATATGCTAACATTGAGGGTATATTGATGGTAAATGTTACCATATATAGCATACATGGATCCTATGGGTTTTAATTATAATTTATATATAAAATTATTTATTGTTATTAATTATCATTATTGCTATATAATCATATATGATGAGCATACACACTTCTATGAATCAACATTATGATATAGAATGTTTGTAATATACACCACATTTTACATGTACAATGCATATATATATATAAATTGAAATTGAACTTTTGTGAAATACGGATGCTTCTTTTTCATTGTGAAGCCGGGCTTTGGGTTTAAATATACGTGTACCAAGTTTTGGGCGTGCAGATACAGGTGGGCATTTGGTAACAGAAATGGAGGATTCAATGGGATGGGAGAATCATCTATAACCTTTTGCTATAGATAGTGGGTTAATGGGATATTCTATATAGAGACTATAGATAATGGGATAGTGGGATAATGGGAGACAGCTATAAATGTTTTTTTTTTTTTATTTCCCATTCTCATGTCGATTACCGGGTACCAGCTATGTTCATGTTTTCAGTACAGGTTGACATTTGATCCATAGCTCGGAATTTATTCGTACCATGATCTAGGCAAACATCACTTCCATGTTTGGTTGGTGGTTGCTGTTTTCATTTGTTTTGTTCAACCCTTGTATCTAAACTGGAGGTACTGTACAATATAAGACCATATTTTGGGGGTATACCTTACATAGCCCTTACATAGACCTTATATATTAGATATATGGTAGGTCCCTCCAATTCCTGAAACGGCCATTGAACTGAACTATTTTCTTTTTCTACCCAATTGACTGCAGTAATCAAAATGATTTGACCAGAATAGGTATCAACCCGCCCAAATTGGAGGTTTATTACTATATTCCCTCAGATATTTCTTGGTTTCGACTTGATACAAATTCTCTTTAGGATTTATGGTACTTGATCGAAACAAGAAATTCTGGAGGATTGCTACTTACCATCTGGTTATTTAACATAGCCATGGGACAATCCAGCATTTATAGCATGGTTTACCTCTTAGAAATGCCTAGATCCATCATCTTTCCATGTGGCCATTTGATCCCAGGTATCGATGCCGTGATCATGCCGGTGGTCTCGCGGAATACCATCAAGCGCGGCAACAAGCGCGTGGTGAAGCTCGGAGACAAGGAGATCGTCCTGAATGCTCCTTGGCCAATCCTGACGGTTGACGCTGGTGACGCTGGTGACGCGGGGCGAGCCGGGTTGCGGCTTGTTTTTCGCGAGTGAAAGGTGGTGGTTGCGAAATCCGTTCAACATGGGGTTGTGGATATGTCTGGATATACATATATATATATGGGTAAATTTAATCACGACCTCACTGTTCTCCCGAACCCTGGGAATGATGGTTAGTAAGGGAAATCATCCCCAAATGGCCGAACCATTCAGGTTAGTGAAATACTATAATTGACCCAGATATATGTATCGAACTACTTCATGAAGGGGGTTATGATATAAACATATCGAAGGACCGTTGTAAATGATAGAACATTTGCACTTCTTCGTGGCTTCCAGGATACGTGTGCAAGGTTACCTCTCGTAGCTTCACTGCAGTTTCACTAATGCAATGTGCAGCCCCACCGTGATGTTTGTTGGTTTATAAATCTCATCAACTACCCTCTGGTAAACGTTTACATAACTATGGAAAATCACCATGTTTAATGGCTAAATCAACTATACATTGCAATTTTCAATAGCTATGTTAAATTACCAGAGGGTATATAGTCTCTATAGTTGTTATTAGATGTGTTATAAGCATCATGAAGCATAGCTACTGAAGTGATGTCCACCCACTTTAGCGATTTTGTAAACGTTTACAGCCCCACTAAGTGGAGTGGTACCCCATGAGCGCCTCATCCTTGAGCTGCGTCAGAACAGCTTCAAGCTCTTCATGCAGACGAAGTTGTCCAATCCTCACTATCCACCGGAGATCCAGGCGAGAACGAAGACTTTCTTATTGAAGGCTAGCCACCAAATCTAAGCAAGTGATATATATATATATATACATAATCATATATATATATATAGAATTATATACATAATCATATATATATATATATGCATGGGTATACTAGGAAAAAAGGCTTTCGAAAAAAAAAAAAGGTTCGAATTTGTTCTATGGGTTAACCCGGTTAATGTCCTACGGAGGCGATCGATGTATACGTCGTTTCTTCCTGGGAAAGCGACAGCGATGGTGTGAAAGTTACTGCGCTTCTCCTTGTAGGAAACAGTCATTGTTTGGGTGGGAAAAAACAAAAATAAACCAGATGAAAAATGTGAGAGTGACATTTTTGTTTGGTTTGCTAGTGTTGGTCATTGATGAACGTGGAAAACCATGTTGATGAATGAATGTGCAAAAAAAGAAATCAAATGAATACACAAATAACATCGGTGGCTCTCTTGGTTGAGGTTGCTCAACCTTTGCAATCTGGTGCATATTCGACTGGCATGTTTGAAAAAATGGAACTCCAAATCAGATAGTCCACAACAAATTTGCGAGAAGAGTTTAGATAGACTTATAATAGTATTCCAGCTGAAAGGGAAAGCAACATTTTTTCCCGGTCCTTGTTTCCTGAAATTGGTGCCTTTTCACCAGTTTTTTTGATTGAACATGACCTTTTGACATCCATGTGGCATGCTGGCTTTCACCATTTGGCCATGTGGCATGACGGATAAGAACTGCGTGTACAATGGCACATGCTGTAACACATGATTTTTCATTGACAAAATTGGGGTATATACTGGTATACCACGGTATACCTCTACAACTGGGATGCTATAACATATTATGACATACAGAATGATAACTCTATGTCATGGTACAGAATGATAACTCTAAAACAGTATTATGACATCATGTCCAAATATTATGCTATAAAATACTATGATCCAATGAATAGAATTGATAACTTCAACTCTTTTGGACAGACATGACTTGGCCCCTTGATTTCGGACATGATCAGATGATGGCAGACGTGTTGTTCCAAGAGAAGATATAGATGTTCCGTTAAGTATATGCCAAAAATAAGCAAAGTATAAATCACAAAAACATATTGCTGCTGAGCAGCTGCTGTTCCAGGATCTGCTTCTCGAAGAAATTGCTTCCCCCACAGATGAACAAACAATTCAGACGGAACATTCCCCATAGCCTATAGCTAAGTTGTATACCTTTTTCGACAGCCAGATTAGTGACCGCCCAAATCCCCATATCTGATGGTTAAATCGCAATTTGTGATTCTTCAATCATGTTTACCCTCTCATAATCTGGTAATCTAACATAGCTATTGAAAATGGCAATTTTTAATGGGAAAATAATCTATAAATGGGCCATTTTCCATAGTTATGTTAGTTTACTGGAGGGTAATCCCTCTTGGCCGTGAACCCTGCATGATTGCCAGAGAAGTTTCGAAGTTGCTTCCGGCACGGAACTTTGGCAGGCCGAATGCACCATCATCAACTTCACAGTCACTGAAGACGGTTTCTTGATGGGTTTCAGCAGCCGCTGCATGGTCGGTGGTAAACCCATGTAAACCCATGGGGATACGCCCTGCCTATCATGCAGGTAACTTGCAACCTGCGAAACTATGAGGGTTGGGAGCTTTAGAAACATGACATGACCTGTTGGTTAGCTAAGCTGGATGTGAGAACAAAACGTGAAGGTGCAACCCACGTCTGTGTGCAACATGTTCTTGGAGGGTAATTTGGCAGGACAATTCCCAATCAAGGCATGCATGTTCTTGATGTTCTTGTTTATGCTCTTTCAACATGAAGGCATGAAAGGTGTGGCCTGCTGAGCCTAAGCTTCAAGTAGACCTGCTATGCAAGCCTGGCTCAGCATGCCAGGCATGCCACATGCTTGATTTATCCTCTGGGAATCAAAGGTGGCTGGAACATGCCCCATAAAAAACGGGAGGTTTCTAGCTAGGAAACTCTTCCATGGTGGATTGTCAAGCCATGTTTGATGACACATGCTAGTGCTTCTCTGGGCGATACCCCCAATGATCTTAGGGTTTATGAATATGTGGTGGTTCATCCCACGAATCGTAAGTAGGTATAATAAGCCTGGAAAAAAAAATAGGCTAAGTAGGGGCAATGTCCACTTAAAACAGGCTCAAATAACGTACTTATTGGGATGAACCACCAAGTAGTGTCCCCCATGATGCCGAAAAGTTGTGAAGCTGGAAAATAGCAGGAACACTGTTCGTTCATCTATACCATCCTGGAAACACGTGATACTGTTCTGCTATATGGCTTACTATAACCATCAACAAACACGAAAAAACAGGTCAAACATCGCATCCCCGTTTTCAATGTTTACACTATGGAGATTTCTGGGAAAATCCATGGAAAAACGAAAACCATTCCTGGTGGAGTTTCCGTTGTCAGCAATGTTTGATGTTTCCTCCAAAGGGTTTTGCCATTATCATTGGCCTGGATTGGCCTAGATATGCTGATGATTTTTGTTGGCCTCTTTTTGGAAAAACCACTACTCAGGGAATCGATGAAGTGAAGATCTTGGTTTTCGTTGGGACAAATCGAAGTGACTGAGTGGTTACCCTCTAAACCAAGAGTTTGCTATGCCCATATGCTCCATGTATGGAATATTTACCAACATTTGCCCTTAAAATCACCCAGTTTTGTAGGTAAATATACCATACATGGAGCATCTGGGATGGTATGGCCCATTGATCGATGAACAACGGCAGCTATGTAAGGCGGCAGTGATCCCGATGAACTGCTCAGGTTTGGAGGATCAGTTGCTCTTCCTGGTGGTGAAGTTAGAAAGGTCCGATGTGATCTGAGGATGGAGTGCGCTTTGCTGTTTTTTTTGTTGTTATAGGTGTATATTATATAATGTATTATAATGTATTATATATATATATCTACATGGCGGTGTCCATTAATGGTGATATCCCCAAATGGATGGTTTATAATGGAAAGTCCTATTAGAATGGATGATTTAGGGGTACCCCCATTTTAGGAAACCTCCATATATATATATATATATATGTGGTTGTGTTTGTGTTTGTGTATTCATCAATGGATATTATATGTATGCCCCTTTTCTTAGACGCCTGGGAGCATGGGTCGGAGTCGGAGCCATTGTTGCCACACTAAAGCACCAGCCGCTGTGCTTTGGAGGAGGCTTTCAAATCACTCAGATCTTTGCCACTTTACTTTGCTGGGTCTTTGATGTTTGTACCCTCTGGTAAACTAACATAACAATGGAAAATCACCATTTTTAATGGGTAAATCAACGAACTAAATGGCCATGTTCAATAGCAAACTGTTTGTTTACCAGAGGGTAAGACCCAGCAAACCACGTTGGGTGCGTCTGGAAATGGGCTATCCTCCCAGTCATGGCCATTTGATAGGAACATGATGATCAAGCACTGGATTTTTGTTGGCAGTTTCAATCATGATAGCTTTGAACCATCCCATACACTCCCTGAAACATGTTTCCAAGCCTATTCTATGGGTTTGTCTGAAAATGGGATATGCCCCAAAGGGGTCATTTTTGGATCATCGTAGGTTCTGACAAGTCCAGATTCATCATTCATTGGTTACATCCCGGCTTTCGATGGCCAAATCCAATTTTCATGGAGTAGGTTAGATATTGTTAGATCCTAATTTGTCCTGGCTCAAGTCCAATTCTTCAGGAAGGATTATACCCTGTGGTAATGACTAACATAGCTATTGAACATGGCCATTGAAAGTTCGTTGATTTACCCACTAAAAATGGTCATTTTCCATAGTTTTGTGTATGTTTACCAGAGGGTACCTTTTTTTCCAGGATGTTCTACATAGAATCATCCCGAAAAGGTTGCCAAGTAAACTCCCATGTAATTAGCGAAGATTCACTTTTCTATATCTTTTTCGGACCTGCGGAATATAATATTCAACATTTAATATCTTCTAAAATTATAATATTAGTTATTTGATCATCCCATATAGCCTCTGGTAAATTAACATAGACCCTGAAAATAATCTCATATTATATAGTAGAAAATAATCTTCCAACATCTTCCAACCCCTAATTATTTGCCAGGGTTTATATTAATTTACTGGAATGTGTTTATGCCTTGGAATTTCTATCTGCCTCGTAGTTGTTCAGCTTCCGCGGTGGGAAGACCTGGGGGCAACGCAGGCCCGATTTGGCAAAGAAGAAGTCTGAGCTCATCAAACAGCAGAACGAGTTCAAGGTGAACCCATGACTGGTGTGGTTTCCGTAGAAACCTCCAATAACTGTTGGGGGTTTACGGTGGAAATCATGGTAGAATTATAATGTGAGCCTGAATATTGTATATATATAATTATACAGATACATACATATATTTATGTATATGCACATATATATATATATATATGCATGTATGGATATACATTATATATATATTATGTATAGTATGCCCTAGATTCTTGACAAAATGATGACTTGATGGTGGCTTAACCATGGCAAAAGACTATCAGACTAATGTTGGAAACTGCTGGATGAATCCTTGAAAAATGCTGAAGAAATGCTGCTGCAACTCCCCTGTACCTTGAACGGTGGATGAACATCTAGGAACATGAATTTTATTTTTCCATTCAGTTGGGAATAATATTCCTAACTGACTACTGACTTTCATATTTTTCAGAGGTGTGGCTCAACCACCAACCAGTAATCCACTTTCAACCACTCAGTTGGCGAGCTGGTTGTCCCATCGAAGTGCTGGTTGATGGTTTCTGGATGAATCGACATCAACTACTGATCCATACTGACTCCTCACTGGATCAGTAGTTTGATACAAGTTCTTTGTTTTGCAATGTTTTTGGGAGCAATTTGAAGTATATAACTTATATAACCAGTGCTGATTTTAAGGTCGTCTGAGATTGGGGAAACACTAACCCAATATTCTGATTTCAGCAGCCAAAATGGGGACACACTAACATATACATATATTGTGGATTGAATTACACCAGAAATGAATGTAGGGACTGGAGTTATACCAATTCTATTTGGTGTAGTATATTATCAATTATTATTGGGCTGATGGCTTTGTTCCCTGCCCAAACCCACACATCGCCATGTTTCACGCCATGTTAAAGGCACCTTTTTCGGTTTATTGCACCTACTGTAACCAGGTCGTGTTTTTCCCCCCATCTAAAAATGCCGGTCCCAGGGTTTCTTCGCGGTTTTTGGCTCCAGAAATCAGCCATGGCAGCCATGGCAGCGATGAAGAAACCTTCCAGATCTGCATCTTCCAAGGCCCCAGCCATGGCCCCGAAACGGGGCTGGCGACGTCCCGCGGCCGCGGCAAAACGACCAGCTGCGAAAGCGGTCAAAGCCGCGAAGGCCATGAAGGTCATGAAGGTCATGACAATTTACATTTGCTTTGCCAGATTTTTTGAAACATGTTCTCTTTTTTTTTGGTGTGTTCCGTAATTTATGATAAGTCATATATATAACTTTATATATGTGTGACTTTGTGTAGATATATACATTATATATATATATATTTTATTATATATATTATATTACATTTAGATATATAATTTAACAATATGTGTATCTATATATATATATTGTAATAATCAATAATATACACTATATAACATACAATATATAATATGCGATATATAATATAGAATATTTATTATATAATTTATAATATATAATATATAATATTTAATATATAATATATAATTTATAAGATATAATATATGATATATAATATATAATATATAATATATAATATATCATATATAATATATAATATATAATATTATCATATAATATATAATATATATGTACATTAATAGTACTACTACTACTACTACTGCTACTACTACTACTTCTTCTACTACTACTACAACAACAACTACTACTACTACTCCTGCTACTACTACTACTACTACTACTACTACTACCACGACTACTACGACTACTACTACTACTACTACTTCTACTACTACTACTACTACTATTACTACTACTACTACTTACTACTACTTACTACTACTTACTACTACTTACTACTACTTATTACTACTTACTACTACTTACTACTACTTACTACTACTTACTACTACTTACTACTACTTACTACTACTTACTACTACTTACTACTACTTACTACTACTTACTACTACTTACTACTACTTACTACTACTTACTACTACTTACTACTACTTGCTACTACTTACTACTACTTGCTACTACTTACTACTACTTACTACTACTTACTACTACTTACTACTACTGACTACTACTTACTACTACTTACTACTACTTACTACTACTTACTACTACTTACTACTACTTACTACTACTTACTACTACTTACTACTACTTACTACTACTTACTACTACTTACTACTACTTACTACTACTTACTACTACTACTTACTACTTCTACATACTACTTCTATATACTACTACTATATACTACTACTACTACTACAACTACTACTACAACTACTACTACAACTACTACAACTACTACAACTACTACTACTACTACTACTACTTATTATTATTATGATAATGTTAATAATATTGATAATATATTAAATATAATATATTGTATAACTAGTATTATATGTATAATTACTTGTGATACCGGGTTCTTCAAAAAAAACAGCCATCAACCAAAAGTTGCAACATCCACCGAAAGCCCCCGGACCCCCTGTCTCAATGTTGCTAACCATCGCTTCTCAATGGCCGGAGCAAGAATGGCTGTTTTTTTTGAAGGCTCCGCGAAGCACTGCTGTCACACAACATTGAAATTGGGGTCAAGGGGTGTCTAACTCTCCTCGCCAGACTTCAAGTTGGTTGGCTGTTTTTTTTGAAGAACCCGGTATGATTTCACCAGGACTGGAAAAATCAAACGGAATAAGTAGCATTTTGTACCCCAGAAATTGGACGGATTCTAAGAAGCATATTTTATGGTCCCAACATGGTGCTATGTTTGAACCAGAGATGTGTGATTTTGTTTATGACAGCCAGCATGGCCCAAACATGTTCCATTGAATTTGTGGGAGCAGTAGGGCAACAGTTTATCATCTTAACCAGTTTTTTTTGGTGATTTGAATTTTGGAGCTCTTCCGAAACATAATTTTGTAACTTACCAATGATGAGGTATCCACGGTATCCCTAGGATCGCAAACCAGAGGGTTGAAAACCACAAATGAACCACGAATTACTGAAATTATCCGAAATCCCAGAAAGGTCCCCATGAAAATCGCCTGAGCACCCTGAAAGATGCCCGAAACGGCCCGAAACATCTCTAATTCCGTCACATGTTTCCCCACAAAAGATTGTCCAAGCTCAACCCAAACCCCTTCCCTTCAATGTTCCCCAACCTAAACGTCGTCGCTCTTCAACGGTCGCTCCTTAGGAAAGCACAGCGACCGCGATTGCCTCCTTCCAATTCCTCCAGGGCCTTGAAGCAGATCACCTTGGCGCGAAGTCTCAAGGCCTTCGCGACGGCGGTGAGTCGTGTGAACGACGTGAATCGCCTGGCACAAATGCATCCTGATTGGCTCAGGAGACTAGCTGCTGGGCGATTCATTCAGGCCTTTTTTTGGAGATGTTGGCAGATTTTTACCATGGTAATTGGGCACATGGCTATGGAAAATGGATGAACATGGTCCATTTTCAGTGGATTTAGATATCTATGAATAGTGTTGATTTTCATTGATTTTCGCTATGTTAATTTACCAGAGGGTAATTTAAATGGTCCGTACCTCGCTTAGGCCTACGTTTTGGCTCACTTAGGCTTACGTTACAGATACATGATGATACTTGCATTAAGGATATATTCATATAGCAGGACATGATTTCGACAGACTTGCACAAGTGGATTAGAGATGCTCATCTGGATACTCTTTCAGTCTTTCAGTGTCTCCCCCCGGTTCCAGTGGTCGCCAATCCCCAGTCCCCCCAAAATGTCGGCCCAAGTAGTCCTGGGACCTAAATAAACTGCATGGTTGAACCGCGGATCGGTTAAAAGAGACATATATTTCAGGACCAAATGCAGGTTTCAACATATGAGGGTGTATGTATAGTTATACTTATTTATCTATCTATCTATCTATCTATCTATCTATCTATCTATCTATCTATCTATCTATCTATCTATCTATCTATCTATCTATCTATCTATCTATCTATCTATCTATCTATCTATCTATCTATCTATCTATCTATCTATCTATCTATCTATCTATTATCTATCTATCTATCTATCTATCTATCTATCTATCTATCTATCTATCTATCTATCTATCTATCTATCTATCTATCTATCTATCTATCTATCTATCTATCTGATCTATCTGATCTATCTGATCTATCTGATCTATCTGATCTATCTATCTATCTATCTATCTATCTATCTATCTATCTATCTATCTATCTATCTATCTATCTATCTATCTATCTATCTATCTATCTATCATATCTACCATATCTATCATATCTATCATATCTATCATATCTATCATATCTATCATATCTATCATATCTATCATATCTATCATATCTATCTATCTATCTATCTATCTATCAATCAATCAATCAATCAATCATATCTATCTATCTATCTATCTATCTATCTATCTATCTATCTATCTATCTATCTATCTATCTATCAATCATTTCATGTATAGTAGAATGATCCATAGATTATGGTTCCTATGGTCCTTTGGATATGACATAGGGGCTTATTGACCTATCTAGTTTAGTTGGAATTGTTTCAATCAATTTCATAGGGATACTTGTCAACCAGCCAATGTAATGGGATGGGTTGGAGAGTTGTATTTTGCATGGCTCAGTTGTTTGAAATTAAAGTTACCACATGTCCGTTGAGTTGTCGATCCAAAATGTTGCTTGAAGATGGTTGGACCGCTGTAATTCCAACAATTTAGATGGTTCAGTTGTTTTTTTTCTGCCATGCATGTTGGTTCTCCACATATATGCACTTTAAAAGACAAACTACTTGGTGGCTTATCCCACTTAGTAAGTGGGTTATAACCCCAGTTATAAATGGGATAAGCAGGGTTAATACACTTATAACTTGGGTTATAACCCATTTACTAAGTGGGATGAGCCACCAAGTACACATGTTGGATGTAAATGGATTTCAAGAACGGACTTTTTTTTGAGACGATGTTTGCAGACTCCGCCGGGGTTGAATGCTTACTATAGAGATTTTGTACG